GTGCCCTTCTCAAGTTAGAAATAAAAAAAAAAAAAAAAAAGTGGTATTGGGCCAAAAAAAGTGAGTTTGGACATGTTTGGCAGTTCAAACAGATTAAATCTCACAGCCACAGCTGAGCTTTTTCTGTGAGTTATTTCCCCGCTGCACTTCATGGTGTTTTCAGTCTTTTGGGGCTCTTTCCTCTCTCTCAAATCCAGGGCAGCTGCAGAAGGGCTGGGAACAAGGATTTCATCGCCCCTCACCACAGTGGCCCTTCTGCACGAGGACCATGAGGGATTTGTAAGCACAGAAGGTCTTACTGGGGGTCTGATTCCTACACCTGCAGGAACAGAGCTCTGCAGATGGATGAGTTTCAGCAAGGTCAAGGCTCTTCCAGTTTTCTGCTGAAATAGACCTGTCAACCCACTGGGACACGGTCCTTCTGAAATGCCAGATAGATCCTAAGTGTCTTTTTATCCCTTCTTTCCCCAGGAAAGCACTGCAATAAGAGACAGGTTATCCAGTCTCATATGTGAGTTCAAGAAGAGGGCTGCAGTTTGGGGGGAAAAAGGTAGGAAAGCTTTGGTTACCAGAGAACTTCTGAGAAATAAAGTCATCTGACCACTTGCAAAGACTTCACAGATTTCTGTCTTTGATTTCCTTCATGATTTTGAAGACAGAAGACACAGTAACAAGTACTCAGAGGCTTCTCAGAGATGCTACAAGCTGTTGACTGAATTTCAGGCCAGTTTAGACATCACTCCTGCTCTCTTTCCAGAGCCCATCAATTTGTCATTCTAGATAAGCTCAATTATTGGTGCAAAGGGAAAGAAACTACTTTCTCCTGCTTTGGAATCATAATATAATTGTAACAGCAAGCACTTAAAGAGCTGTTCTGCACTGGAGGTGCCAATATGCTCTGTGAAATACTGTATTGCAGCCAAGGCAATGGACACATGAGAAGGTAGTGACTTGCCTGTTGCAAGAGGAGGAGATGGGTCCCCTGAGGGGAATGTATTGGCATAGCTAAAGTCAGCTTTGCATGAAACCTTCGGCCTTTTCCACAATATTTTGCCGTTTCACAGTAATTCTGATTTTGAACTTATTTTTCCGATTCTCCTGCTAGCATGCCAGGACTCCAGGACCTAAAGTTCCCATCTACTGGCTCAAGCCTGGGGTTGATAGCTCATGAGGCTCCATCCAAAAGCAGAGAACACTGTTCCCCAAGTGTATCTTGCAGGGACCAGCCTTCCCAGCACCCCGCTGAGTCTGCTGCCTGTGACAGACAATGCTGCATCATTCCAGAAAATGGTGTGGAACACCACTTGTATAATCAAATATCACCAGTGTCCTTACCAGCTTCTTGCAGATTCAGAGGTTTTTTAAAGGCAGGAAGAACCACCAGCTCAATTCTGACAGCACATAGCACAGCCTCCTCCTCTAGCTCTGCTCTCAACCCAGTGACCTGGTGCTTCCCCCACAAAGCCCACAGGCACAGGCACCACGTCACCCCTTGGTCTTCTTTGGATAAACCCAACAGACAGAGCTCCTACATCTGGCTACAAAATATTTTTGGTAGTCCTTGGGTTGTCTCCAGCTTCTCCCTCCCACCAACACCAGCTCAGCCCAGCCTCCAACATTTTCTAAACCTGAACACACAATGGGATTGCAGCGCTTCAACCACCAAAGGCCAAAATTCCCCTCCAGGCTACCCCCCAGCTTGCCCTGGCAGTGGGGGGACAGCACAGCTTTGCAACCCTCCACTTTAAGGTAGATTTTATTTGCTCAAATCAGTTTATTAAGTTGTGTGTCTTGCAGTGAGTGACATTCTCCCTTTTTAGCAGGATGGATTTTAATGGAAATTGCCCTCTCACATCACTGTGAAATCAAGGTGGTTGGTCAGCTGGTAAAATCCTCTTATAGAAAGCCCAGCTTTCATTCTTTTTATGCTGCTTCAGTCCTGGGAAATTATCCCTTTGGAGCTACCCAATATATTCATTACTGTGCTGGTCCATCCTCTATCCTCTCTCCTGCCTCTATTGAATCCGAGTCCCAGCCATATGCTCCTCAGACACTGTCAGCTTCCAACACACAGACCAATCTGTCAGGATGGAATCTGAAATACTGTTATCTCGTGTTGGGTGTAATATCTCCTGGGCTAGAAAATGATCACACATCATTTGAGAAACTTCAAAGAGATTTATTTCTGGTTATATGAGACTCCCAGCATACATCTTTATGATTGAAGTCTCCCATTACCTGGTATTTCTTTCCATTTATTACGGATAAAAGCTCCAGAAGCAGCTCACCTCTTAATGTGAACCCATGGTCTGTAATCCCCTTTACAGGCACCACACACTCACCTCTCTCTATACCTCCCAACTTCTATAGTCAGAGCTTTAATATCTCTGTATTTAACAGCTAAACGGGTCACGGTCTCTTTTCCCCTCTGCCTTTTCCCTTGGGCACACACTGCTGTTCACACACACGTTGTACTCAGCAGTTTAAATGCTTCAGTCATACAAATCAGCCTCCCCTCACTCCATTTTGGCAACTGTATCAGATTTCTTTTAGTTAACAAACATTTTCAATTCCTGCCATTGTCAGAAGCATGAAGAATGAAGGAGGAAAGTGTTCATACAGCCACCGGAAATTAAACAATTTGCTTGGGCCTGTGATCTGCCTCGATGGATAAAACAAATCTGCCAGTGGCATTTTGGAAGGTGCTCTTAGGCAAACCACTGCCTCTGCCCTGCTACACCAGGCAGCATGATGGAGGAGTGCTATTAAACATTGTCAGTCAGACATCTGGGGAGTAATAAATAAAATTCATGGAAGAAATAGGATAAAAGCAGGGAGCTGCAGGGGACTCTGCAGTATCAGCAGAAGATGTTCAAAGCCAACCTTGCAGCTCCTGCTTGGAGGAAAGCCCTCTGCCTTTGTTTGGGCCTCAGCAGGAAGGGATGTTTATAGGTTGTGTCTTTTAAAGTACAGCAGGACTGAGTCAGAGCGTGTGTTTACATTGGGTTGTTGGGTGTTTTAAATATCAGCACCAAGTCCCAAGAATAAATTACTATGGTGGGAAAATAAGGTAATGTCACTTTGTACTGATGCAACAAATTTTAGTGCTGCAAAGCTAGTGGGTAACAAGGCAAGGCTGTGCCTGGTGATACACCTGGTGCAGTGGTGTTTGCTCACAAAGCTGAGCACTGGCAGGTCCACAGGATTTAGAGGAGGAAAGACACACATGGTGGTACAAAATACCACTTTATTAATGACAGCTTTTTGGTCCAGGCAGATGTAAACAGGCCAGGGAGGAGGCATAGCAGTAATTGCTCCAAGAGTAGGAGGCAGCCATTCCTAAAATAACCAAAACTTCCTCAAAGTCTCTGAAAACACTCTTCATAACCTCAGCAAGAAGAGACTGGGACCAGTTCAAACCAGCACTGCACTGTGTACTGGGATTCCTCTCCGTGGTGGGGAGTGGTTCCCCCTTGGCAGAAAAAAACATTGACCAACCCAGGAAGAGTTAAAATCTCACTCCAGTTCACAGAATCATGAAACAGGCTGAGTTGGAAGAGACTTTTAAAGTTCATCCAGTCCAACCCCCTTGCAGTGAGCAGGGACATCAACTAGATCAGGTTGCTCAGAGCCCTGTCCAACCTGGCCTTGAACGTTTCCAGGGATGGGGCAGCCATAACCTCTATGGGAAACGTGTTCTTGTGCTTCACCTCCTTCTGAGTAAAGAATTTCTTCCTAATATTTAATACCTATCTAATATCTTCATTTTTTCCAACCAGCTTCTAAGAGCCTGGGCTCAACTCCAAAGAAATTGGTCTCAATTTAGTGAAGAGGCTTGGATGTGTGTGAAACCCAAATGAATGGGCAGCAGGACCAGGTAAGAGAGTTGAAGGTGAGATCTTTAAACAAGGTGTCCCTCCCAGTGTTTTCATGGGGAGGGCCTCTTTTGCTGTTCAAAATTATTTCCTTCTGTTAGGTTTGGTTTATTTTGTATTTTTATACACCACTGATACGGTGGAGCCCTGCCAAAAATGGATGTTAAAATGCCAAAAGGAGGAGAGGCTCTGCTGAAACCTTTCTGAGTCAGTAGGAGCCAGGAAGCAGGGAAGCCACAGGCACTTCTGTTCATGCACAAGTTCCAGCCCCAAAGTGCAGGCTCTGGAAGCTGGATTTTACCTAATCATCTGCATTAGACCCATAATGATCTGTCACAGTTTTAAGCAGGTGCACATTTACCAAGGCTACAAATTGCCCTGAGATATCCACAGCCCAAAATCCTAAGACAGTCCAAATCCCTCTGTGAGGCACTAACACATTCAGTATGAATTTCACACAGAAGACCTTTTTTTATTTGTTTTTAACATGAATACTGTCCTTGGCATCCTATAAGACATGTTACATTCCCAGGGGCATAAATGGAGGTTTGTTGCAGCTTTGACTGGTCTCTTGTCAGACATACAACATCTAATTCACTGCAGTGTTTCTACTTGTCCCACTCTGGTTGGATGTACACACTCCCAACCATTCCACTACTCCTTCTGGCTGGGAGGGTTCATATCTTCTTTGATTCCTTCATCTCCTGAAAAGGAAAGGAAAAGGGGACAGTGCTGGAGATCGATCGGTGTGTGGCTCAGCCCCAAAGTTGGGGCAAGGTATCTCGAGGGACCTTTCCATTTGTACTGAGTGGTGTTTGTCCACAGGGATCATCCAGTCTCTCTCCCTGGGTGTTCCTCTCATCCCAACCTGCAAATCGCCTGTGAGTGCCTACATCTGGATTTGGTTTGTGATTTGCTTTTTCAGTCAGGGGAGAGAAGCAGGTTCAGGAAGGATGTGGTTCATCTCAAATTTGGTGTCTGAGCCTGCTTGGGTGAACTGCCCCCGGGATGAGTCTCTGCCATCATCAGTGGAAAGGGTTGTCCAGCTGCTCGGATGGGGTTGTGCTTGTAGGGCCCCACTTTTAGGTTCAGTCTGAGGAAAAATGTGGAGACTTTCTGGCCTCTGATCATCTTTGCTGAGCTGAGAAAGAAAGACTCTCAGGCACAGCGTTTAAAACACTTCCCTTCCCACAGCCTTTTCCTCTCTGTTTGGTGAGAAGATGACATTTCCATTCACACAGCATTCAGCACAAGGCACCCCCATTCCCATTTCATCCTTGGGCGCCGCTCTAGGAAAAATAATAAACAGCTGAGTGTGGTGGTGGGGTTTGGGAACGGTTCCAGCTCACAGTTAAAGGACAGGCCCCGTTATTTCTTGATGAATAACAGCATTTACAGAAGGCCTTTCACCCCGAGGTGCTTCACAAACTATAAACATACATCACCACATCACAGAACGGGCAAAACAGCCAACTTCAAAGTTACAGCTGGGAAAATCCCACAGGCAGCCCAGTGCAGGGAGCGACTCACCTGCCAGATACCAAAAAGCAAGGCAGTCCTACACACAGGGAGGGGCTGCTGCTAGACTTAGGCATGTCCAAGCTGCAAAGTAGACCACAGGATTGTCCTTCTCCTCTCTGGAAATTATCTGTATGGTCTTTAAATGTCTGTGTTTAAACAATGCTACTCCCTCACTGCCAAAGTTGAAACTATTTGTGTTTTATTGTGTTCCAACATGTTTGTAAGGTCCATGTGATTGTTCACCTTTATTTCCTCTCCAAACAAGGGTTCCTCTCCATTTCCTTCACACTGGCCGGTGCCAGCCACAAACGACTGCTGGTTGATGCAACACTACACCAGTGCAAAGACCCAAAGGAGCAACTAAAAAGAAGCTAAAGGGACCTTAAAAAAGATGATTCAGGAGTTTTTAGTGTCAGGAAAACTCAGCTGCCAAGATTTGGTTTCACAACTTTGAAAACCTCAGAGAGTGAAAGAGCCTGAAGCTGAGTGTGGAGGTGAGGAATGTGCCCCGAAGGTGGGTCTGGAAGGACCTGGAGCCCCCTGTCCTGAGGGTCCAGCACCTTCCCTCTGACAGCAAATGTGGGATCAAAACAGGACCATGCCATGCACAGGCTGCATCATGGACATTTCTCAGCATCACTGACCACCTGGGTGATTTTACCCCCACCTTCAGGAGCCTGGATGGGGATCAGCAAATGGAACCTCACGCTCCAATTAAGTGACACTTTTACAGAGGAATCACAGGACATAAAGTGTGTAAAAAGCCCAAGGGTTCAGAGACAAATTTCAGCATCTGATTGTCATCCTTGGTTTGCATTCACCAGTTTATACTGGGACTTTCTGCTTTCTAGAAGGTTCCCTGCCTGCCCCAGTGAAGGGGCTTCAGTGCTGGTGGTGAGCATGGAGGCTTTGCAGCCAGGACTTTTCTCTTGGTTTAGGTAGCACAATGCAGGTTCATTCATTCCTTGCTGGAACAGACTGAATCAGCAGACAGACAAGGCAGTAGAAGGACATCATTACAGTTAGGGGTGAGCAGGGAATGGTAAATTTAATTTCAGATGTAATTGTCCAAAGGAAAATGCAGATGATGCAAAAAGAAAAGCTTCTCAACAGTGTAATTTAAGGCACTAAAAAATAAGCACACAAATTTAATACAGGAACCCCCAAATTAGAGACATCTAGAAACCATCTGAACACTTTCTTCCTCACTCCAGTTTCCCCAGTGGTCTGACTGCCACAGTTAGTTCTGCAAGGCCAGATTTGGTTTCAGAGTGATTAATGATTAGCAGCAGCCACAATTTTTTTCAATCCTTTCTGAAGATCAGGGGAGGGGAAAAAATGCAGCTCAGACAGAATTTCTGCCTCATGTTCCGTGCTCTCAGCGGGGCTGGGCTCTTGGAACACCAGTGGGAGCTACAGGAGCAGAGAGTATTACCAGGAGAAGATTTGCTCCATCTCACAAGTGACCCACCCCTTTGGAGCTGATCTTCCTTTTCTTTTCTGCTATTTATATGAATAAACTCCTCCCCAAACAGTTTGCTGAGTGATAAGAACTCGGATCATCAATTACCCGCCTCGTGTCAGGCGGCTGCTGCGGTGGGAATGAGATTTGCATGTGGTCGGGCACATGGTCCTGCAATCACAGCCTCCCCTAATTGCACATCAGCATGAATTAAAGCCTGGCTGCAGGGATGTTGCTTCCCTGTTTCGTCCCTGCAATGGTTTCTGTTGTGGCAGTTGCTGCTGAAAAATCCCCGCTTTGGTGATCAAACCAAACCTGAAAGTGGTGTTGGGCTGCACCACAAACGAGTCCATTTTAGGCAGCAGATACAGTTTCCAGTGGAACAGCGTTGCCCTTGCTGAGTTACCTCCCTCTGCCAGTGCTTCCTGTTTTTTCATTGTCTTTGAAGCTTTACATTTATTTGTAAGCATTAAATCAGAATTTAGTTACACTAAGAAACATTGGAATTATAAATAATCTAATCCTAATACAAGTACAGAAATGAATAGGTATGGAATACTGAAAAGGTATCACTGGAGTCTGTCCTTTTAAACAGGCAGTGTAGAAGACATGATTATACATTCTTGTGCCAAGGTGTGAAAACATGTCATGCCTAGACATTATCTCATTAACATCCTGTTCATTCTCAAATCTAAATCCAGATAACAATTGTTTCATTTTGTGTGTATATATAATTTGTGGGTTGTCTGCCTTTTGGTGAAGTCAAGACATACAAGGCTAATGCAAATACATGAATTTCATTCCCACAGCAGACCAGCATCTTCCACAGGTCCCTTCTTTGAGGTTAAAAGGCATATTTGAAAAGGACTTTTTTTTTTAATTACCCTCTTTGCATCCAGGAAAATGACTGAATTGGTACTGACCATACCATGTACAGGTCACTAAAGTATGTACCACAACCTAAACCCCATTCCATCCATTCCTAACAGGGCAAATACATTCGGAGCATATTGTGCAGATGCTGCTGTAGCTGGAGAAAGGAAAGACAGTCTGATTAACCTCATTCCCTGATAAAAATCACACCAAACACTCTGAGAGAAGAGGATAAACATCCTGCCTCAAAGTCTCATTTTACCCATGTTGCCCTCCAAGTGCTTGAGAAGCCACAGAGGGACTGCACTTTGTCGATATCCCAATGGAAGGCTGAGGTTACCTCCAACACACCAGAAATTTTTTTTAACACCTTCAGCTTACAAATCCTTTATGGAATTACAAACAAGAGATTCTCTGGTTTCAAAGGGGTGGCAAAAAAGCAGACTCTCCTCCAGGACATGGCTCAGTGGATCGTATAACCACCTTCCGAAGAGAGAGCCTGAAACACCAGCACCGTCTGCAGCAGCTTTTCACCTTGCCAAGAGCAAGGCTGGGGGGGCAAAGATAGTTTAGGTAGTGCTGTGCTGGTGTGCCCACCTTGCTGCTGATACCCAAACGTGGCAGTTGAACACTGTATCTCCTGTTACCCCATTTTTAATGCAGCTTGGAGGAGTTCTGTGTTAGATTTCCAGTCCGGCTGATGAGGGAATTGATGCTGGGCTTCTGTAAGAAATGTGTCTTGTAACAGTGCAGCACGTTGATGAAGTAACCAAAACAATACAAAACCACTGTGAAACACATTAAATGGATTAAGAATTGGCTAACTTAATGTCTTAAATACAATTATAACTAGAGAAATTTTCTTTGAGTGGGTGTGTGTTTGGATAGATCCCGCAGGGACTGGTTCTTGGCTCTACGCTATTTTATTTTATCAACGACTTAGGAAAAAACCTTTAAATCATTATCAAAAGATTTTTCAGATGAAAAAGGCTGGGAAAATGGTCAAAAGAAGGAAATCAGGTCACTGGTACAAATAGGTAATTGGCAATCTGAAGGTAAGCAAGTGCAACCAAGTCACAAGATTGGAGAAAGCAGAATTTTGCCTGGTGGGGGCTGTGGTGGTTCTACACTGGAAAGCCATGACCAAAAAAGGGTTGCAAGTCAAAATGAGTAATCAACTGTCCATGAACTGACCCTAATCTTTGTATGTATAAGCAGATGAAATCCAGGGAGAAGAGGATGATAATGTTGTCTGGGTATTCCCCGTCTCTTGAAACTGCTGCCAACCCATTGTGCCCTGATCTTATGTCCACAAAGCAAGTGGGAGGTTGAAAAGCTGGAGACAATTCAAGAAAGGGGCACAAGAATGTACACAAGTCTGAGAAAGATGATTTGCAGGGAGAGATTTAAGGAGCTTAGTCCATGTAGCATGTCAAAAGAAAGCTAAGGGGTGGCTGGACACTGATCCAAGAACCTCCAGGGAGAAATTCAGTATCCAAAGTTGTCTTCATCCTTGCCAACAGGAATGTCTCATGTCACCAGCCTTGGTCCAAGTTCCCACACCAGGTACACGCCTTGGTCATGTCCTGCCACCTTAGGTGGGGAACACACCGACCTTTCTTTCGAGGAGAAATCCAGGTGCCTGGCCCAACCAGAGCTATGGCAGCTCTGGCAGGTCCTTCCAGCCAGCAAAGCCAGGACTGGGAGCCTGTTGTGCACCAGATTTTGAGTGTGAATGTGGCCAAAGAATTCAGGGCTGGGATCCTCCAGCTCTGTTTTCATTCTGTGGTTTCTGTCTCTGTTCTGATCCCGGTGCCAAGGAAATGCTGCATTGTTTGAGAGATGTGAATCTGGTGGCATAGCCTGTCTCAGGACAGGCTCTTCCAAGGCTCTCATCTGATCTCTCAAGAGAGAGGCTAAACTAAGGGACAGAGATCACAAGCTTAGGCAGGGAACTGCTGTGCCTTTTCCCCCAAAAGGAAGGAAGGATTATGTACTGACCAGCTCGAGCAAGAGAAACAGGGAAAGGCTGGAGAGCAGCAACACTTCAGAATGCTGTACATGAGAAAGACATTAAAAATAAGCTTTTTGCTGGGTCCATATATCAGCAGCATTTATTTCCCTCATCCTACCTGCCCCTTTTGGAGACCTCTTATCACTTCAAAGGCCAGTAGCCAAAGACAACAGTTGCACAAAGGTCAGACAGGGGTGGTTCACATCAGGATGATCCATCTGGATGCAGATCCTGCCTGGAGTGCGGCCCCTCCCTTTGTGTGGGGGTTTTCTTCTCAGCTCTACTGGGAGATGGCTGGAAGTACAATGAGGGGGGAAAAAAACCAAAAATGGTGAATACGTAACAGGAACAATTTGTTCTTGGATTTAGAGCTGTCTATGGACAGTATGTAAGGCAGTGTTTTGAGTGAAATATTTGACTAATGATCCCTACAAGGAGTATGGAGTAATTAGTGCCTGGAAGTGATACAGAGGGATATGGGGAAGTTGGAAGTGGGTGGAACAGAGTGGGATCACAGCAGCAGCTGAGAAAAGCCCACACCATTGGAGGTAGCTTTTCATGGGGGAAAAAACTGTGAAGAAAGTATGTGCTGAAGAACAAGCTGGATGCTTTAGCACACTTTTAAAGTGTCCTTAACACATTATAAGAATGTGCTAAAAACAATGTTCCTGCCTTTTACAAGCTGCATATTTTTAATTGCAGCAAATTATTGACTTGCACAAGCTTTACACAGCATTGGTGAAACTCAGGCCGTTATACTTCAGAATAATTGCATGAATTACTTTAATATTCAAACATTGGTGAATAAACAAGTATTGTCCTGCATTAAGTTCTCAACAAATTGTTGCTTCTTCTGGTTGAACCTTGTGGTCGCTGCAAAGACGACTTTCTTGCAGCACCTCCAAAAGCTTCCATGCAAGTGCAAATGCGACGCATAATTTGAGGTCTCTTTCGCTAATTGCCCACGCAGCTGAATTCTACACAACAGCTACATTCCAAAAAGGCAGAATCTGCACTGTTTGTTTATTTTCCCTCCAGCGGGAACGAAGCTTTCCACGAAGGAGCGACTGCAGCTGAGATGAATTCAGCATCACAATGGTGAAACAAGAAGTGCATTCATGTACCAGCACGTTCAACTGCGAGTGGCGTTTGAGCCCCTCTGCGCCGTGGTTGCTATGGCGTCTGTGGGTGGTGGTGGGGACGGCAGGAGATTCCCAGCATAAATGCCAAACCACGCTCTAATATATCTCACACTGACCCACTATTAATTCAGTGGCTGCTCTTTTATCGTTAAAGGAAAAGAAAAAAAAAAAATCAGCTCAACTTTCACTTCCAGAAGGGATGTGAAATTCAAACCAGCAGCAGCTGTAAGGGTGTAAATCACATGACAGAAACTTAAAAGGTTTGGGGTTTTTTGTGTTGCTGGGGCTTTCTGAGCCTATAGAAGGATTATAAGGAAATGGGAATAAGCTGATAGTCACACTAAAAAGTTGGGCTGTGCACTGGCCCGTGGACTTTCATCTTGCCATAAAATGTAAGGATTGTCAGAAATGCATGTTAACTGAAATATGAGGTTTCAATTCCCTGTGAGTTTTCTCTAGGTGGACAGGAAACCTGTAGCAGAGCTGGGTATTTCTTTGGTCCTGTTCTCTTTATTTACACAAACTTTGGAGGTTTCTTTTCCTTAATCTGGAGAAGAATCAATAAAAAAATCTCTTTCGTGGTCTTTTTCTTTGGGACTGTACTTATCATCTTTGTGCCAGAGGCTGGGACTTCTTTTTTTCAGCTCCATGCAAGCCGTTCTCCATCCAGGTGTCCTGCACACACCTTTGTTTAGTCAAGGACAAGGGATTTTGTGTAATTGCTGCAATTGTTTCAATTATCTGTGTCTTTAACAAAGATCACTGGCTACTTACAGTTACATTAACTCTAACATGGCTCTAAAATAGTGTTGTGCATTGAAATATAATTATACAGGAAGCAGAAGGTATGGATTTGTGTTTCCTACTCCAGGTGAGCCCTTCATAAGCATCCTGTCTGGACCATGCTGGTGGCTTTGTGCCCTCAGGGAGGTGACACCCTTCCTGCAGGCACACATTTTTGTAATAGCTCTGGAGGTTGGTATCAACAGGAATTTAGAGTCTGATGGCACTGGGCTCTTCCCAAGGGAGCAGCCTGCCTTAAACCTGGGCTTATCTGATGGCTACAACAGGCTGTCCATGGTGAAAGGTGGGGAGTAAGACATTGCTGCTGGCACTGGAGAGTAAGATACCACCAGAAACAGGCTCAGCAGAGGATGCGAAACAGGCTCATAGGTGCCAGGACTTGTCTTCTTGCCTTTCCCTGCATTGTTTCCTGCCTGGCAGATCCTGACCAAGGTCACAGGCTGTTTCCGTCAACCCCTAGCCCTGGAGCAGGGAATACTGGGACTATTCACGGAGAGCACGCAATCTCACTGCACAGAGGCAGCCAGGGTTTTTCTCCTGTTCTGTACCAGCATTTCAGCTCATCTGGCACTTTTCATTCAGGAGCATTAACCTACAGTCTAATATAATTATGTACTATATGCGTTTAAATTTTTAATTAGTTACATGCACTCAAGAGCAAATGGTCCCTTTTCCCCCTGATACACACACAGAACTCCTCTCAGCCTTAATGGGGTTTACATGGGTTTATCAAGTGATAATAAAAGCCTAAACGTTGGCTTCTGCTAACATTTACTGGGTAATTCCCTGCTCTCTCGGCACATGGGAAGTGTAACTGTGCACTGTTAAGTGCAACATAATGGGGAGAAAAAACATTTAAGGTTAATTCTTGGCTTTACCCATGTTACATACACGGTTCTTTTGGAAGTGTTAAGACAAATCCCACAGAAGGAAGCAAATCAAAGGGAAAACTGATTTAAAAGTCCTAGGTGGGTGTTTTCTCCCCTGCAAAGGGCACATCTGTACCTTGGAACATCTGGGTGAGTCTCTTTGCAGGAGGCTGCATGTTGGAGGCTGCAGTACAGAGAGTCCCTGCAGCACCTCGCTCTTGCTCGGAGGGGAATCCATGAAGGAGATAACACCAGCTGGGCTCTAAGGGGAAGCATGAGGAGATAACACAGCTGAGCTGATTTAATCTACTCTCATGTGCCTCCAGCCTCCCATCAGGCAGGCGTGAAGCAACAAGTACTTCAGTGCTACCCAGGCATTCCTTGGGGCTGGAAACAGGGTTCAGTCCCAAAGGGTGAGACTTACCTCTCCCAAATTCAGCTGTCTGCAGCCCAGGGCCCCCCATGGCTTTCTTGTCCCCACAGCACTTACATCTTTCCCCTGATACTGAGAAATAAAACTATTGCACTGAAGTTCAGTGACAGCAATTCCACCTGAACTGTGTGTTAATGTCCCTGGCTTCTCCATGATTTCTGGCTACAAAGCCTTGGCCTGTTTCTCGACCTGGAAGTGCCCTGGTCTTTAATGGTGAGAAGAAACTGCTACAAACGGGTGTGCAAAAGTTGTGTCACCCCTGCTCTGTGCAGGCAGCTTTGGGGAAGAAAGGG